TCTTTGATGGCTCCATTTTGTAAGTGCATTGTTAGGCGTCTTGACAGGGTTGTGGTAGTCATTCCGATGTAGGAGAGAGATGACACTTGACATTTCTTTGAAATTTGCCACAAAGTTCTCATGAAATCAATTATGATGACGTATTCGATGGGTAATAACGATGTCATTTTAAAACAGTATTGTTGATTCTGTTCGTATTTTTGATCATGCGCAAAATAAAAACCACGCTGCTTATTCCCGCCTTATCATAAACCTTACATTAAAAGTCCACGAGAACCAGCTTTGTACGAGACGTGTCGGCCGTCATAGTAGGGTGAACGAATCGTTTTTTCTTTTTTTTTCTTTGAATAACTCCTGACGAGACTTTCAACAATGTAATACAATATTTGAAATGGTAAGTTATCAGTTAATATAACATTGGTGCTGAACTATTAGGCTATTCTGCTTACGAAACTAATCATTAAAGTAGGGAAGCTTTACCATTGAAATGTGAATTGGTGGTTGTGTCCTCCCTTGATTTATTATAAAACACATCTAAACAACACATTTCTCTCTCTTATCTTTATATTATTCTACCTAGTTTTTACCGAAACATCTCTCAAGATAAAACTATTACCATTACTCCTCTCGGATTTCAGTTTTACACTAACGAAATGTTCTCCAGGTTCTTTTTAACTGCATGAGTAAGAAGAGTAAATTATAGAAATGTCAACATGTCATTATAAGGCGCGTGTTTCTCTGTTTGAACGATTTTTTTAAGTATAACAAGAACCTCGCTTTTTAATTTTAAAATTAAAAATAATGTTCATTGCTTATAAATTATATCTTATATTTAAACTATAAAAAGTAGATATGAAATTCAAATACATAAAATACTTCATAACTTCACAACTGTATGCTAGAAAAAAAGTATGTTACATATGAAATACTTCTCTAAAAGTTGTGTCTTCTACAAATACAAATCTTGTTCTCAGGAAACTTACTGGCCTAGCTTTAATCCGTTCAGCTCTGAGATAACTGTTCTGTAATAAGCAATGTTTCAGTAATAAGCCGACAAACACGCTCTCATATCTAAAAATTTTATTTCCTTTGAACATCTCAGCTAGTTGTGTGATTTGGCAAATAGTGAATTAAAATAACTGTCCAGTGTTTAACGCCCTCTATGCACCATAAAGAAAACAATTTCTCATAGTTGGCCTGTTGTTCGTTTCTCTGTAACCCGTACATTAACTGTTTAGCTGGAAAAGTTTTATATATCTAAAAGGTTTATTTAAAACTGTCAAATATGATTACTTTCGATGTAAAAAAATTTAAAAAACATTAGCATCACAAGACTTTCTGAAAATATATTTTTATAAATTCCAAAAGATGTAAGAGGTCATAAATCAACGTTATAGTATTTTTTAACTTTCAATCTTATATAAAAACTATTCAATATTTTGTTTACACATATTGCATTAGAAATATCGTTCTGAACCAAAGAAAAACAATAAAATAACCGAAAACTAAAAAAACACCAGTTCCAATCGTACAAAAAAATCTTTATTAATTATTTAAAATTTTAACACCAATTATGTAATCAAAAGCACAGATTATGAACTTTTTAGTGAACACTGAGACAGTATGGCAGTGACGTGAGTAAGGTGTGTGACATAAGTAGTTTATTACTTATTGAGCAAATGTTATTTAGTTTAAGTTCAAATGGAAATTCTTTCCAGTTTATAATAAGTATGTTATCATGTTAACCTGACTTTAAGAAAGCACTTTATTAACTGCTGACAACAAAGTCGTTCACATACAACTCAAATCAATATGTATATAGGTAATCCCCCTTACTTTGGCAGTGTTAACATATAAGCATAAAGACTTTAAAAAATACACAGTAATGAGAAGGCAAAGTACAATATAATAGGTTCATTCTACGTATGTTTATACAAATATAACACAAATTCAACAATAACGAGTAAATACACATTTTTTTTAATAAAAATTCATATATTCTTCTATTTAGTCAAACTGCACTTAATCTTAACAGTCTAGTAAGTGTTTTAAGTTTAAACTATATTGATGCAAGTTAAGAAAACTAAAACATACATTGTGAAGGAAATCCATAAACTTTCTTAGCTTATCAAAAAATAAATTTAAGAAAAGGTATTGAAAAGAGTGAAGAAAGTAGACAAATAATGATTAAAATATGTGATGACTATTACGTTGGCGGTGGCAAGAAGATATCCTCTTCTCTTCTTTCTCCTGTAGATTTTCGGATACACACCTTACATCTGGATATTCTGGAGCGAAGATCTCCAGCCTTAATAGTCTGAGATACTGGAACACTGAAGTCTGCATTTCTTTCAATAGTAGCCAGCCAGAAGCTGTAGGCTGTGGTATAGTAGTTACAGCGACCATGGCCTTGACACTCAATGAAAGGATTGGGTCGGAAATCTTCCAAACAAGAACCAGGAGACCAAAGAGGCTGACCACTTCCTTCTGCTCCAGAATCAGTGTTCTGAGGAAAATTGAATTGTCTTATATTAGTATTCCAAAATGAGTAAAAAAAAATAAAAAACTTTATACTGTTGTTGTAAAAACAATATGTTTAAAAGTACTTTCTTTTAGTGATATGGAAGAGAAAATTGTTTGTAAATATTCTGAGATGAACACAAATCACTTTGTTTCAGTTTTCTGAGATGAAAATATTTACTTCAGATCAAAATTCTCAAAAGAAAAAAATGGTGCTATAAAAAGAAAATAATTATTTTTTACCCATGTTTCATACAAAGAGTCAGTCTTCATAACATTGTTCATGTTCTAAATCAGTATTTGAAAGGTGAAAAATTAAATGCTACATTATCTGGGAAGGAATATTGTTTTTTATATCCTCCTGCATGGAGTAGAAGATTTTATATTACTTTTTTGTGGAAAAAAGAAAACATAGCAAAGTTCTGAAGCATGATTTCATAACTAAATTTCAAGAATAAAAGAACTATTTGTTAATTTTTTGGCACAAAGTAATACAATAACAGTTTAAAATCATTATTATCGGTGTATTCAATTACTTCTTATTCAACATATATCATAGGTTAATTATTTTAAGTTTCATAATTATAGAACATTAAATAAATAGCAACAGTATTTACAAGAAAACCTATATAAACTATCAAAGTATTATTTTGGACAACCAGAATATTTGTAAACAGAAATATACCAAAGTGTGGTCAATACCTGCTAATTTTAGAATTGCAAAACTAACTCACCATGAAGAAACTGTACCCAATCCATAGTCCATCCCAGCCACCAGGACAGTCAGGGATTTCCATACTCTGACTATGAACTGCTATAACCTGTACAAATCAAACTAATTATAGGAAACCACTGTGTGCAAAATAATAACAATGTCTCTTTCTGGATACACGTAAAGTCATATGGCACTTTTTTAAAAGATTTAAAAATTTGCTAAATCATTTCTATACTTTTTTAATTGTACATTTACCAATTCTAATCTCTCTTCTTCAACTGGATTGTTGGTGTTAACTAGCAAGACTATTTCAGGAAACTTGGAATAGTATTTGGCAAATTTTTGTATATTTATTACTAATTTTTTATCTTTACAAATAAAGGCATTTCATTATTATTTTCATCTCCAAACTTCAAAAAATAAATATAAGTGGAAAGTCCATGATGCTGTTGTTACTGACAAATAGAATTGTTTTACTGTTATATGGCTCATACCTTCAGTTCTACAGTCAGTTTATTAGGCTCAACTAAGGTACATCTATACTTTAAAGTTAATTTTCTTTTAAACCAATGTTAATTTTACAGTATTGTTTTAAAGATTTACCACACATGATGTGTAAGCATCTGATGTGGTATTAAACTTTCTCATCAAGTATAACAGCAGAGAAGAATTTAGCAAGGTTTTAGTGAAACTGTTTCCTGAGACGAGGGTGTGTTGATCTGGATTAATTAAATCTCATTATAATGCTTTATGACAACTGAGTAATGTTGTTCTAGCATTTCATTAAATTTTGACAATACATTATATGATTCCTAGAGAAACAGAATACTTATAAACAGCATGTAATACTTAATTAATTAATCAAAAGATTCATATAAAAGTAAAAGATGGTCCATTAAATTAATAAAGGATGATACCTTATTGTTTATAGACGGTTAATATCACAATGTAAGATGATACCTTGCTTTAATACATAATCATTATGATACTGCTATCAACATTGAAACTGTATGTAAGTTATTAATGGGAAAAGCACCCCAGAAGAATGGAACATGCTGTTATGTTATTTCAGTAGTGCATAAATGTATGTATATAATGATAGCCAATGATTTAAATAGCTAATATACTATTGTTGTACAGAGGTATTTAAATTAATAATATAGTTCAACAATAACTACTCTGTATGTAGATAGTACAGTACTTTACTATAATAAAATGTACATATTTATGTTAATTTAAGTTTAGTTCCATATATAGCATTACGATATAATGATGAGTTGTTGACTTTTCATTGGAAATTTGTGAACAACCATGCAATTGTTTAAGCTATATTTCATGCAAAAATGCTTTCAGATTTTTACAAATTTTCTAGGAGAGGGGGGAATACCTCCAGATCCCCCATAACTTTAGCCTTTGCATGCTGATTGTGCTTTTCACAATATATGTTGGATTTTGATCTCACAAATCAGAACCCCCTTTCAAACATTCTGCGTAGGGACTTATACCTTACTGAATGATAAGTAGATGATTAATAGCACAATAAAGAATTATAACTTGCTGTACATGAGTAGATGATTAGTATTTAATTGTATTCTAAGCAAGCTATCTACTTGCATTATGCAGTAATAAAGTATAACAAGTATCAAGTAGAAATCTAATGAATAATATAGTATAATACTTACTGAGTAGAAGTACAATGTAATAATAAAGTATGATACCTAAAGAGTGTAATGCAATAATAAAATATGATATGTAGTGAGTAGAAGAATAATGCAATAATAAAATATGATATGTACTGAGTAGAAGAATAATGAAATAATAAAATACGATGTCAACTGAGCAAAAGTATAAAGTATGATACGCAATGAGTTGATGAATAATACAGAAGCAAAGTACACAATCTGCTGAATAAACCACTTAGACAATGAAATACTTGATTATACAAAATTTTAGAACATACCTGAGTTATAGATTCGCAAACAACACAGCGACTAATATATTTCTGGATATCTCTCCCAATGATTGGAGTCATCATCATTGTCATGGGTTCAGGTGTGCTCAACCAGTAACTATAGTCATTACGAGAAGCCAAGTTACACACGTTATTAAGGTTGCAGAACATAAAAGGCATGGTTGAAAACCTACGCAAGCAACTTCCAGGTCCACCTGAGATAAAATATAAATATATGTTTTGAAAATATAAAATGTAGTGTCAATTTTACTTCATTCCAAATATATATCATAGTCCTGGGAGAAAAAAAAAATGCATGAAACTGTAAACAAATAATGAAATATAGTACCATTAATAACCATTACTGTTATAAGTTCTTGTACAGTATTATTCATACTGTTGGGCAGTAACATCATTATTAATATTACTGTTTCCGGTAATGTCGTTAAATTTTTAGTCAAAACAGTGTGTTATTTATTTACTTGTTACTTTTTAAGCTCAGTAATATTATAGTCTACAAATAAAATGAAAATATAAAATAACTAAAAACAATTAGTAGTTAAATATATCTGGTTAAAACAATAACAATAATTAATAAACAAATAAATATTAACATAAATATAATAAATAATATACTTTTTAAATAGTAATCATATTGGAACAACAGCAGAGGAATGAAGCATTGCACATGTATTCCTACTGAAACATGTTTTATCCGGTTGAAGCATGTCTTAGTTGAGTTGTGAATTTGTAGTGAGGACCATCACACTAATCAAGGATGCCTTTGGTGTGTCTTTTCTGTCAGCTGTCTGTGAGCTATCAGAATGGGAGGTTATGTGCAACACTATGTCATACAAAAATGGCAGCAGTTTCAGCGGAATTCCACGTAATCCGTGGTCATATTTCAACAAATACTTAAAGTTTACTGGAGGAAGTAGTGTTGACAACTTATCATATGACAGGGTTCATACTGGACATCAATGAAAATTTTCAAGGACTTTTCTACAGCCTACAATCCCAATTTCAAGCATTGATACTCAAAGAAATTGCTATCAAATAATTAAATGACATTTATGTTCAGCAAGGATTACCTTTATATTGATCCATTGAGAGACTCACTCAATAAATAAGATAGACCATAGTCAAATATAAACAATTAATTTTTCAAAAAAAGTTATATGCAACATTGAACAACTGTAATAAAATACAAAGTTCTCAAAAAATTTGGCAATTTTAGCATGTCAATTAAATCAAGTCTTTTCACCATTCACTGTACCAGTTCTTTTAAATTTTTTTCTCACAGCTGTGAAGTAGGCTAATCATAGAGTCACTGATTATTCCAATGTCCACATTTTTGTAGGATTTCAACACACTATTGTCATCCAGGTTGATGTTCATTATATTAAGAGCACATAGTCTTTATTTTTTACCTGCTTCTTCAGAAATGGAAGAAAATGAGGTGCCAAACCATAGGTTGTCTGGTATCTCAATTTTGTTTCAGCATAACTGTATTTTTGAGCTATTATGCTATCATAAAATATAGCTGCAAAAAGTTTGTTGTTTTCTTCTTGTGCCTTGTATGAAAAATGCCTGTTGGCACTATGCAAAGTCCATAAGATTTCGGTACAAAATTTTCACTTTCTTTGATACAATAGAGGGTAAACCATGTTGACTAGATTTAAAAACTGGAAAGTCAGATCTAATGCTAACGTTGTTAGGCCTTGATTGAAAAGATTCCTGGTGAGAAACAACTGCAACTTGGCCTAGATCCAAGATGTAAGTTGTCATAATGTTTCATATTTTTCTGACTCCAACCCTGTCCGACATTTATCTGTTCCTTTGAAAAAAAAGTCTTTCATCGTCAAATATTTGGATTTGGTCATTATCTCTAGATTTTTGCAATGTAATGCACTTTTCTTATGACTTCTGAAGGCACTTTCACCTATTCCCCCAATGTCAATCACTTTCCAACAAACCTTACAAAAGGCCTTGTAATTGTCGAGTGCCTCAACAAAAGGTAAAAGGGCTAATATTGGACTTTGTAGTTTCAGAGTTTTTGTCATTTACAGTTGTCGAGTTCACATCCTTTAGAACTTTAATCACGTTACTACAGCAGTCATTTCTCAAAGAATATTAATGAAGCAAATGAATGATGCACATGAGGAAAACATTAGCTTTCTCAAGCCCCAACTAGCAGTAGCCAAGACTGTTGCTATAACTGCTGACTGATGGAGTTGCAGAAAGAGGTAATTAAATAATAAATAATCTCTAATATTTTAGTTTCTAATATTCTTACATTTTTTAAACTATACAATGTTGGAGGTTTGTTTTTTGAACCTGACTTAGGAACATTGATAGTTTATTAGATTGTCATCACATTTACTGTAGTTAATTTTTAAATATTGAAGGTAATCTGTTTTGTTATTAAAACTGACAGACTATTATTTTATTACAGAGCCTATTTAGGAGTCACTGTGCACTGGATTATCAGACATATTATTAAATGTCAAAATTAGTTTTTGAGCTTATGTTGTAAGTTTAGATAATAGAGTGATAACTTCTTTTACAAATTGTTCTCCAATAATGCATCCACCATCTTTCCTGACCAACTGCATGGCAATGTTGTTGGTAGTGATGATGATGCAGCCATAGACGAAGATGACGACAATGACTCAGACAAAGATGCTGTGGAAATTCATTCTCTAGCTGATGATGACGAGGTATTGTCTCATTTATGTATATGCATTTTGCCAGACCATCAAAGGCATGCCTCTCATACAATGAATCTTGTTGCTATTACTGATGTAGATAAAGCTTTAAATAATGCTAGTATAAAAAAAAATGTCTTGATCATCAACAGCAAAAGCTCAAACCCTATGGAATAAACAGAGCAGCAGCATTGTAGCTGCTGACACAACTGATAAAGAAATAGAGGGATGCTTGGTTGTTCCTTGTCCAACTCACTGAAATTTAATGTTTGATACCCTAAGTCACGTAGGTAATTTAATGTCTGGAAGTGAATCAAGTGACAAAGTGCTAGACCAAGTTTTTGATCAACTGGGCATTTTGCAGCTGAATCCAGCTGAGATTTTTATTTTTTTGTAATACATTCAAGTCATGAGACCTATTGCTAAAGCACTTAACATCTTACAATGTGAGAACAAAGCATTTATGGGACTACTGATTCCTACCATGCATGTTTGTCTAACCAAATTGGGTGATTTGAACAATACATTTGTAAACCCCTTGTTGAAGTATTAATTCAAAGATAGAAACTAGGTCTGACAAAGTGTTCAAAATGATGATTCAATTCTTTTGGAGTGTTTTCATCATAATTTAAGCTCTCCTTGCTTCCAGAAAATTGGAAGGAACAAGTTCGACAAACAATGATTGCAAAGATAGCAGAACACATAGCACAATAGAGTACAGAATAGCCTAATCAACATAGCACAACAGAAGATAAAGGCAATTATTTCAGATGCCTGCAAAGAAAGGGGGCAAAAAGCACTAGATACAATAGTGCTCAAGTAGATGGTGCTTTTTTTAGGTAAATCTCTTGTAAAATCTGTCCAGAATGATGCATTTCCAGATGCAGTCTTAAAGTCCATTTTCATTTCATTAAATACAATTATTCTGTTAAATACCACAGTTGAGAGAGTTTTTTCAGTTGGAAAAGACATTCTGTTGGCAAAAAGAGGAGGAATATCTGATGCAAGATTCAAAAGAGCTGTTTTCTTGAAATGTAATAGTGATATTGGCCTCCCAAAATAATCCTTTTAACACTGCAGTTATTACATGAAGTCAACTCTGTTAGCTTATTGCATACCAATTTATAGGCTACTTATTAGTTATTTTAGTCATTTGCACTCCTTTTTATTGTATTGTGTAAGTCATACAGTGCTCTTTCTTTGAATATTGTAAAGGAAAAATAAAAGTAGCTCCTGTAATTGCTATTCTAAAACCTCTCAATGTGTAATGCATTTTTTTGTCTTGAGTTCAATGCTTGTAGCTCAGTTCTGTATATATATATATAAAATATAACATACGATGTACATATTGTATGTTTTATATACAAAATACAGGTATCTAATTGAAAAATAACGTGTAATGAGTCGTTACTCATTACATTTTTAAATAATTAACATTTTGGGTAACCACACTACTATTTTAAGCAGGTAATATCATTACTTTTTTCTAGTAATATGCTCAACACTGATTATTCATCATAAAATTCTTTAAATTCATTAACACTGGTGTAAGAATTATATTCAATAGTAAGATAAGAATATTTTTAACCTGTACTTTAAGTTTTATTTCTTTAAGATGTCTAGAACTATTATTCACCCAAGTCCTGTCCATGAGCTCGTGAGTTCCCCATGATGTAAAGAAGAGAGTAGCCATCCCACATAGGTGTGGTACCTCTAGGGCAACGAGGTATATCTATTGACTGACTATGACGGGTAAAGTAATACCCACGAGATGGTGCTGGTGGCCCAGGAGAACCACGTTTTCCCGCATCTCCAGGCTTTCCACGTGAACCAGGGAAGCCTTCTAAACCTGCAGAAATAGTACGAAACCACCAATGTTTTAAAATATAAACAAACGTTTTTAAGGCCAATTAAATCACAAAAAATACTGTCAGAAGTTTAACTGAATAAAATATGTATAAGTACGCGATTATTTATCTTACAGATCAAGAAATTCTAAGCTACAAATGTAGAAGAAGAAATTTCCTCTAATCAGAGTAGTTTCGTTTAGAAACAAATGAAAAGACTATCTAATCAAAGTATATTTAAACATAGAGGCAGAGATTTAGTAAAATCTCTATTTCAATCCTTTTTTGGTAAAAAAACTTAACTGCTACATAGCTATTTTTAATAGAAGATATCTAGAGCAATGTAATAAATACCAAAACATTTTTATCAAAAGTATTTATTTCATTGCCTTAGAAATCTTAAAATAAAATTAGCTATGTAGCAGTCAATTATTTTACTAAATAGGATTGAAATAGAAATTTAGTCATTCAAGTACTTTGGTGTAGAATTAAAAAAAAGGATTTAGTCTATATAAACAGACTATATTTAAACAGGTTATATTAATTTAATTCATACAGAACTGGAAATTAAATTTGATCACAGAAATTTTCAGAAACAAGTAGGCTTAAACAAGGTAAATCAGTTTTGTAAGAAATAAAACAGATATATAGTCAGATGATAGTAGTTTCATAAGATTTTATCACACAATTTTCTTTTCAGAAAAATGTAAGTAGTTTGTCAAACAGAAGTGGTTTAAATCCATACAGAACAAGAAGCACATATTTTTTTAGCCCTGTTTACTTTTATACAGAAATTCATGCAGTGATTTAATTGTGAAAAGGACTTTCATAAAGAAAAGAAAAGACTTAGTCAAACAAGGATTTTCTACAGAAGCATCATCTGAGATTTAATCAAAAGAAGTTCTGTATGGATATAGGATACTTAGTAAAAAATATGGCACATTTCCTGTTCAGAACTAAAATAAGATTTACTCATAAAATAAAAGGGATGATTTCCAAGTAAAAACATGAAAACAGACTACTATACTCTCCTTTTTTATAAATAAATAAAGAGGCTTCAGCTAATTTTTCTATTTTTTTATATTTGATCTATGTAGATAGCTTGTTTTCATCAAAAGTTATTAATAATATAAAATATAAATAGGGCAACATTGTGCAATAAACTTGATTTAAAAATATGTGCAAAACAACATTTACATTACACATTAAAATTTTTGAAAAATTAAAAATGACTACATGTTTTGGTAGCTTCTGCTACCATCATCAGGAGTAAAAATCTACGCAAACAATTGGAGTTTTATATAAGAATGGTCGGACTCATTATAATTCACCAGGGTGACATGAATACTGCACATATGAAGTCGATATTTGTCTCCAAAATTCAGCACTATCGCCAGCCAACCCTTCATCTCTATTTAACAAATGATTATTTAATTTACAACATAAAATTTCAATAGATTCTCTGATATTAAACTCATTTACTGTATTGGGTTCATGTAAAAATATTGTTTTATGCCACTGTATTCAGTGACCTGTTTCTGCAATGTGCTCAGCCAGTGGAAAAATTAACATCTTTGTATTACATATATAACCTTTATGTTCATTAATAATATGTGCTACACTCTCTTGAAAATTTAACATTACATTATTTTTAAATTTCTGCATGTTAAAAATGTAAATGCAAACAAACACACATCTAAATAATAAAACTGATTTTAACTTAATTACATATATTAGTAATGAACTTAAAGAAATGTCTCAAAAAATTAGCTAAGGCTGACACAAACGTTTTTCAGGAGGCCTTCCATATTCTAAGATAAGTTTACAAACTGAGCTTCTCAACTTATATAAATAACCTATATTAGTAATGAACTTAAAGGAATGTCTGAAAGAATTAGCTAAGGCTGACATAAACACATTTTTCAGGAGGACTTCCATATTCCAAGATAAGTTTATCAATTTAGCTTCTCAACTTATATAAATATAAGTAAACAATGTACCATCTCTTCCAGGTTTTCCATTATGTCCTTTTGGACCTTGAGGACCAGGTATTCCAGGAAAACCTGGTGAACCTGGGTCACCAGGGGCTCCAAATTTTCCATCTAGCCCTCGAGAGCCTATGTCACCTGGATAACCTTTGATTCCTTTTGGTCCCTTTAGTCCAGGGTCTCCAGTCATTCCCTGAGGTCTTTGATGTTGCAATGGTACTGGTGCAGGGTCACCTACTTCACCTTTGTCACCTAACGTAAATTAAAGTTAGATTATGTGAGTCAAAAGTACTTTTGATGAAAGTAATAACAAATAAACATGAATTTGTGTATAACTAGAGCCTAAACATGGTGGTACCACTTATTTTTTGTAGCTACATAGATGAGATCGGGTGTGTCCAAGGTTAATAATACTTTCTCTAACTTTATTATATATATATATTAAAACTATTTTCCTCTGCAATAAAATAACACAAGAATGCTGTTTTTTATGCATGAAACAGGGCTAATGTATATCATAAAGTCCCTTTTCTATTCAAGACATTAATGTATAAAAATGTGCATATTCTTGTTACTCTTTTGAGATAAATTAAGCATGTATATTCAACAATACTATATTTCTTTGTAACAGAAAGGGTCATGCATAAAACAATTGTATTGTTCTCTGTAAAGGAAAATATAAAAATCAGTGCTGCTTTTTTCCCCCACATGATACAGATAAGATCAAATAACAAATAGAAATTTCTATGTAAAATGTTAATATTATGCACATGCAACAGTGCTTTATTTTCTTAAGTAAGTAAGATCAAGCATAAACGGTAGTGCTATTTCTCTGTGTAACAAATAATGTCATGTCTACACAATGGTACTTTTTATTTACTTAAAATATAAAAAATTAAAAGTACAAAATAGTGACATGATACATTATTTTAAAAAAATCACAAGTATAAAAAAGTGTCACATTTTTCTTTAAAATACATAAAACCAAAACCACAAAATAAGGCCACTTTCTTTGAAAGTAAATACAACTAAGTTTGCACAAAACTTTGCAAAGCTTCATAATGATAGCAATCGCTGGCTTTAATCTGACAGATTAAATGGAAAGTAGCTAGTCAAAAGCATCTACCACTAGCCCTTGGATTACTTTAATTGAATGGTCAACACTTTTATAATTCATCCAAACTGTACAGCACAATTCTATAGACAACAGAATGTGAACCATGACCCTCAAGTTCAAAGTCCAGCATGTTGTCCACTAGGCTAAATCTGGCCCAAACTTAAAGTATAAAATAGTAACATTTTCTTTGAAACACAAAAGTGTATTGAGCAATGTAACATTTATTTGAAACAACAAGACCAAAGTATACTTTAATGTGAATTTCACTATACCTTAAGCAGGCCATAATCTAGCTACAGGCAAGTTAGGTAACCGCATAGGGCCCTGCAGCCTGAGTAGTGATGGAAAGAGTAAAAGTGTTTTTAGGAAAATCAATTTTAGTAGTCCTGCTTTTATAGAGTACAAGCATAAAAATATATAGATTATTTAACTTTTCCAGGAACTTTTTTGTTCATCATAACTCAGTCGGATGTGAGGATTTGGGTATGACTGTAAGTGTTAATCCAATTTCTTCAGCAGAAATAGTTGATAATATTGAAGGAGAGCCTGTTTCCTTTACCAATTTAGATGATCCTGGTGAGTTTTGCCATGATACTTTTATCGGGTATTTAATGTCATTAACGAAAAGGCCGATTTGCATCTTCAGAGAAAATTATGACTTTCTTATAGATGATAAAAAAAGACATTTTATATATCAGTGAAAAGCATGGTCAAAATTGGTTGATGTATTCTCAAAATAAAGACTGTATATTTTGCTTTGCTTGTTGTTTATTTTCAAAATTATAAACAACGATTGCCCTCGCTTCTCAAGGTTGTTCAGACTGGTAAAACCTGAGTTTGATTTTAAAATCACATTAAAATAATAAAGAACATATGATGAAGCTAGACTTTGAAAAGCAACTAAGAGTAGGAATACAATTGACAAACATGTACAAACTTCATAAGGAACAATTTTAGAAAGACTTCTTGCTATAGTGCAGTTTTTGGCATCACATAACTTAGCCTTTTGTGGTACTAAAGCACCTGAGACTGAATGTTCACCACTGGTAGGTCTGAGCACAGAGACTGACATACCACTCAATTCTAAGTCTCAGCAAAGAGGAGACTGAAATTTTATCCATTGCTGTCTTATCACAGAGACTGACATGCCACCCACTGCTAAGTCTTAGCAAATAGGAGGGTGAAATGTTACCCACTGCTAGGTCTAAACACAGAAACTGATATGTCACTCACCACTAGGTCTAAGTACAGAGACTGACATGCCTCCCACTTCTAAGTCTCAGCAAAGAGGAGATTGAAATGTTACTCACTGCTAGGTCTAAGCACAGAGACTGACATGTCACCCACTGTTAAGTCTTAGCACAGAGGAGGATGAAATGTTACCCACTGCTAGGTCGAGACTGACATGTCACTGCTAGTCTTAACAAAGAGGAGAGTGAAGTATTACTCACTACTGTTTCCTTATCACAAAGACTGAAATGTCACCCACTGCTACGTCTCAGCACAAAGATTGTGTTGTCACACTCAGATAAGTCTTGACACAGAGACCAAAATGTAACCCATTTCTAGATCTCAGCAAAGACTGGATTGGTTTGTTTTAGCACAAAACTACACAATATGCTGTCTGCACTGTGTCCACTACAGGAAAATTAACCCTATACTTTAGCATTGTAAGTCTATAAACTTACTCCTAATTGACCAGGGGACCTCAGCAAAGACACTGAAGCATCACCAGAGATTGATATCTCACCCACTGAAGTCTAAATACAGACAACTAAATGTTACCCACTGCCAGTTCTCAAGACAGGGAGTAAAATATCACCCACTGCTGAGTCTCAGCACAGAGATGGAAATGTTACCTACTTTTTACACTCCAGTACAAGAAACT